TCCAACCTGGAAGCTTTTTCAGTCCTAGAGACTTCATTTGAGTCCATGCATCATTCACCCCCTCCCATCTCTTCATAGAAGCAAAACTATGAGCCAGTTGCACATAACTCTCAGCACAGGCAGGTTTTAGCATCATGATGTCTCTTGCAACAATATCTCCAAGTTTAGCATCACCCTTTATCCTACATGCATCAAGAAGTATGCCTAAAACATCAGCCGTAGGGTTGGATATTAAAAATAGTTCATTGATACGTTTATTAGTTTTTTATCGTTTCCTCTTTGGGTTTGTTAATCCTTTTAGTCAAATTTAAATGGGGTAAAACAGTGGGCATTTAGTTACTATTTTTACTCTGAATTTACAAGTATGAACTCCAGGATTGCCTTGAGTGTGCTACTTTTTTTGTAAAGATCACAACAGTTTCACCTTGACCGTGTTCGGCATTTTATTATTACTATCACCTTGATTCCTTAATGTGGCTCTTTTCATGGTTGTTCCTATAGGTCAAGATCTCCAGCTTTCATCTAATATGTATGTATACTTGTATGAATTTGAGTATTTTTTTTCCCCTATAATAACAGACAGATGGTTTGATTTCGGAGCTGATTCTTACTTCACGCTATGAACTTTAATTTTTTATTATGTTTGTGAAATTATTTTGAAGCACCTTCCAGTTCAGCAAAAACTAAGATACATAATGAGTTCCTTGCTACTATGCTTTTGTTATGTCTTATCAGAAACCTATTATGTTGGAACTTTAAAAACTCCACTTTGGTCTTCGCATGCTATGTTGTGTCTGTATGTAGCTCGGTTAGTTACACGAATTGATAATTCAGCTTTTTTATGTTAGCTGTTGTAGTGTTGTACTACGTATTCCTTGTTTGGATTCATGGACTCACTTACACCACTGAAGTAACCACACACAGCACCAGCAGCCTTCCTAGCAGCCATTGCTGTTCTTCAGAGAAGCCAAGAACAGGCCTTAAGAACTCAAGAACAGCCAGTACAGCAAAAAGGACCAACAACAGCAGCAGAACCAACAAGGTTACAGCAACAATATCACCTTGTAATTTATTTATTTTTTGGACGAAAATTGTAATATTACTGCCTTTTATAATGAAAATATGGAACTTTATATATATATATATAAGTGTTTCTATATCAATTTAAGTGAAAAAAATGCAAAAAAATAAATAAATAAATAAATTATTTTTTTGGGGCATTTTTGGCACCAGTTTTGGAACAGAACCGGTGCTAAAAGCTTTTTTTTTTAATTTTTTTTGGCCACTTTTTGCACCGGTTCAAAGCAAGAAACGGTGCTAAAAGTTCTTTTTTAATATTTTTGGGGACTTTTCGCACCGGTTTTGAACCGGTGTGAAAAGTCTTGGGATTTGGCATCCCTCAAATCAGAACCGGTTCAAAACCGGTGCAAAATGGGGGTTTTGAACTGGTGCTGATTAGCATTTTTTGCCTAGTGCTCGAGTATGAATATATGGGGGGAGTTATGGGGTTTTATATTTAACCATAGTTTCTACTAGAAGTACAGGACACTGTATTTACCTTTTTATTATTTTATGCGCAGGATGTCCATCACTCTTATGTGAAATCTATGCCTACTCGGTTAGCTTCCGCAGTAGTTAACCCCAATTCTTTGGGGCAGGGATTTGGTGGGAAACTCGTTCGATGCGTAATCAAATTGAATAAGCAATTTATTTATTTATTTATTTATTGGTTATGTTGTATGTTGTATGCTTGTAAATAGGTGCAACAAGGTAAGTGGTGTTGATAGGATAAAAGCATGTTAGTGTGTACTAGTTACGCTTATGTACTCAACATTGTTGATTGTGTGTTTGTATGTTTGTTTAGCCTTGTCTTTATCTTGGCCCTACGACAACCCACTTCTAATGGCGAGTAGTGGAGACAAAGTAAAGAGAAGCTTTTCAGGAGATGAAGCATATTCATGATGGGCGTGAGTGAAGAGCGAATCCTGTTTAGTTTCCATAAGAATATGATGTGTTTTATTTGCTTTGATTTCTATATATATATATTTGCTTATGAGACTAACACAAAGGTTTTATTATTCGTTTGGGTTTTGAAAAGGGCCTACAATGATTTCAAGTTGTAGGTTGACTTGATTTGACTTTGGTTTGACTTTACTTTTGTTTGGTTTGACTTTTTAAGCTGACTTGTCTTGAATGGTTTTTTAAGTGAGTCTTCCGCTGTGTTTTTTTTATAATTGCCTTAGACGTTATCACGGTGGCGGTAATGTCTTATTTTTTCCTATTTCGTATTTTAAAAAGAGCTGAAATAGGTATCTTAAAGGAAAGGAATTTGTAGGGTGTTACAAAGTGGTATCTGGGAGCTAGGTTGAGATTTTTATTACCACTAAAGCCAAAAACGTGTTTTAAAGAATTTTTTTTTTTTTTTTTTTTTTTAAACTTGGCCAAGTGTTTAATTAATGAGTTATTTTACAAAGTAAGTTGTTTTATTTTATTCTACATAATTTTAAATTTTTTATTTAAGAGGACCAAATTTTTTTTATTTTATATATATAGGTCCAAAATTCTTTTTTTTTTTATTTTATTTAGCTGAGAGGTCCGAATTTTTTATTAAAAAAAAAGGGGTGCCCAAATTTTTTATGTTGGCCAAAAATTTTGGCCTTTTCGAAATTAATTTTCGAAAATTTTTTCTTAAAAAAAAAGGTGAGTCAAAAAAATTTTTAGTTTGTTCGTTTTGCAGGAAAACGAAGAATTAAGGTATGAATTATGTGTTAAAAGCTTTAAAACCATGTTTGTGAGCTTGAGTAGGAAAAAATTTGGGGCATATAAGTTAGAATTATTCATATTCTTGTATGCATTAATGTTTAGGTTGTGATGTTTGATCATGTGAATTGAATGATGTGGAAGCATGTAATTATGTGATTAGAAAATAAGTAAGATTGTTTGATTGAACATTGAACCTAAATTCATGCAAGCAAGAACTGTGTTATTGTATTTTCTTTGGGAAGGGAATTTTTTTCTATGTCTTTTCCTTTACAGGATGTCGATCTTTTCTAGCAAATACTCACAAATTGGTACCCTAATTAAGAAAGATTATGAACATACCTTTGACTATGTCAAGAAAATTCGTTTCTATTGTTCACACATGAGCGATGTCCTAGGAGACAAGCAGTATGACCATCCTGATCGTGTTTCAGCTATGATAGTTCACTGTCTTCCTGACGAACCCCCATATCTTGTTCTCAAACCAAAATTTGCTGATTTCTACTGACCCGGGAACATCCCCAATTACTCCAAATACAAAGATTATTATGGACAGTGGTACCTTGATTACAGATACTTGATTTCTTATTTCATTCGAGTACAGAAGTATCACTGCGAGCACTTACATATTCCATATCCAAATTACTACTATGATTACCTAGCAGGGAATGATTCCCCTTCAACTAGTAATCAATCAGGAAATTCTTCCCCACCACAGGGTAATCAAGCACGAGAAAATGGAGGGCAAGAGGAAAGAGAGCTAATGGATGAGAGTAACCATACTGTTGATAGTTCCATTATGGAAATCTCGAATCCAAATCCCCTCCAACTGCAATCATTATTGACATTTCATCTGACGACGAGGAAGATGAAGAGTTTATTTAAGTAGAGCAAAACCCAAAGACACCTGAACTAATGGAGGAGGAAGATGACCCTGAATTCGATCCTGGAAGCTACAAACAATCAAAGGACAAGAAAGACAATGTTCGAAAGGACTAGATTTTTGTAGTTTCATTTATTTTAGGATTGTTAATTAGTTTCATTTCCGCAGTTATAATTATTTCATTTTCCAGTAAAGTAATAAGTGGCATGGCCACAGTGAGTCAATAAACCTATTGAGTTGCATAGGTTATTCAAAGTCATTTCATTTTATATTCAAGCCATTTTCTTTCTCAGCAATAAAATTTTATTCATTTCCTTGCCAAATAATTCATATTACTGCCAAATAATTCATTTTATTTCCAAATCATTCATTTCATATCACTACTCTAATGAGCCATTTCTTATTCAAATATTCCAATAATTCATTTCCATACTATGGGGAAATTATGGAAATTATTTTAAATTATTATTGTGATGTTTTATTAAATGTATGGTTGGTTAGCAATCAAAATTGGTTAATGCTGCAAAATTTGGGAGTTGTAATTTTGCGAACTCAATTTGTTAGCTTTGTGTGTATGGATGGTATAAGTTAGTTAAATGGGTGTTTAACTTGAGAGCTAATCATGACCATAATTAATAAAGACCCCTTGTTTTAATTCAGGAGAAGAAAGATGGCAGGAGGAAGTGGGAACAATAATGAACGAGGTGAGCTGAGTGAGGTTGTAAGGCAGTTGGCAGTGGTCTCCCAGTAGTTAGCAGGAAACTCGACCAATAATGGGGATGCTCAGGGGGAGTTGTTCAAGAAGCTGGCACAAAGCAAGCCACCAACCTATCAAGGCGAACCGGACCCAACAGTGTTAGAAAACTGGTTAAAGGAGTTTGAGAAACTGTTTGGGGCAGTAAGGTGCCCAGAAAATTCAAAAGTAGGTTGTGCTACCTATTACCTTAGGGGTGAAGCTGACCTTTGGTGGCAACAAAATGAGGCTACCATCAAAGCACTACATGGTTTCAATTGGACTATGTTTCAGGAGAAGGTTAGGGACAAGTTTTACCCCAATTTCTTATAGAAACAAAAAGTTGAGGAATTTTCTAACCTAGCAATGGGAGATATGTCAGTCATTAAGTATTATACCAAGTTTATTGAGCTGTCAAGGTTTACCAAAGAGTCTGCTGCTACAGAAAAGGCAAAAGTTAGGAAGTTTGAGAGTGGATTGACCACTAATCTTCAACTAAAGCTGTGTGGATAAGTGTTCGAAACCTTGGATGAAATTTATGGGAGGTCTGCACACCTTTATGCTTTAGAGTTGAAGAAAAAGAGGGACTTAGCTGAGGTGGGAGGAAAGGAAAAGAGAAAAAAGATGGGACAGAACTCTGGAAACCCTCAAGGTAACCAGAACAACTTCAAAAAGCAGAAATACCACCACCACAACAACAACTTCAACATCAACAATAACTTTCATGGTAACAATCGTCAAGGTGGGCGAAACTTTGATGGAGGAGCGAAGAACTCCAACCAGGGAAATAACAAAGGTCCAAGGCATTGTTATTGCAAAAGGTGTAGGAATGATCATCCTGTTAAAGACTGTGAGGGTAATTAACTTGGTCACTTGCCGCACTTGCAACAAGTTGGGACATAAGGAGTATGAGTGCTTCTCCAAAGATTCTAACAGAAACAAGCAGTGCAATAATTAAGGAGGGGCTCAAAGGAACTTTCAGGGAAGCAACAACTATGCAAGGAACAAAGGTGTACAGCAAAATGGGGTGAAAGGAAACAATAATAATGGGAATAGTCGGGTGAAGAGTGGAGCTCTAGGAAAACTGAATGTGATAAGTAGGCATGAAGTTGATACTACGAAGGATGTTATTACTGGTACTTTTTCTATTAACTATATTCCTATTAAAGTTTTGTTTGATTCTGGTGCAACTTTTTCTTTCATTTATTTCAAAAGCCATTGTTTCAAAGATATCGCACTGTTTGAAAATCATAGATGTCATAGATGTACCTATAGTTATTCCTACGGAAGGGGTAGTGCAGTGTACCAAAACCTTTAAGGATGTGCCATTAGAGATCAAGGGAAAGGTGTTTTTGTCTGACCTCATTGAATGTGGGTTAAGTGACTTCGATGTCATTTTAGAAATGGATTGGTTGAGCAAGTATAGTGCAGAGATTCATTGTTGGTCACAGAAAGTGCAGTTAAGTACAGTTGAGGGTGATTTGGTAACACATTGGAAGCATGGTGAAGCAATGTGCCCAAGGATCATCTCTATGATGAAGTTGGCTAAGTATATTAAGAAGGGACATCCAGTATATTTTTGTAGTGTAAGGAACTTGGAACACGAAGAGACAGCTAAGCCTGAGAACATATACGTGGTGAATGAGTTTCTAGATGTGTTCCCAAAAGAGATTCCAGGGATGCCACCTAAGTGGGCAATTGATTTCACAATAGAGTTGGTCCTAGGGACAACACCAATTTCCAAGGCACCATATCGAATGGCACCTGCAGAAATAAGTGAGTTAAAGGAGCAACTGCAGGATTTACTAGAAAAGGGGTACATTAGACCAAGTGCATCGCCTTAGGGAGCTCCAGTGTTGTTTGTTTAGAAAAATGATTGAATAAGGTCACCTTAATAAACAAGTACCCATTACCAAGGATTGATGACCTATTTGACCAATTGAGGGGCGAATTTGTGTTTTCCAAGATTGATTTAAGGTTTGGATACCATTAGTTGAGGATCGCAGACGAAGATATTCCCAAGACTGCATTTAAAACAAGGTATGGACATTATGAGTTTATAGTAATGCCATTTGGATTGACGAATGCTCCAACAATCTTTATGGACTTGATGAATAGGGTGTTCCATCCATTTATGGACAAGTTTGTCTTAGTGTTCATAGATGATATACTGGTGTATTCAAAGAATAAAGAGGAACATGTGGAACATTAAGAACAGCTTTACAAACTTTAAGAGAGAACAAACTTTATGCCAAGTTTTCCAAGTATGAGTTTTAGTTAGAGAAAGTAGCATTTCTGGGCCACTTTGTGTCCAAGGATGGGGTAGAAGTAGATCCAGCAAAGATTGAGGCAGTGAAAGGATGGCCTACGCCAAAGACGGTGTCTGACATTAGGAGTTTCTTAGGTTTAGTAGGGTATTATAGACGTTTTATGAAGGACTTTTCTAAGATTGCTAAGCCTATGACTTGAAGAAGGACAAGAAGTTCGAGTGGGATGAGAAAAGTGAGGAAGCATTTCAACTCTTGAAGCAAAAGCTGATTACGGCGCCAGTGCTAACATTATATTGCCAGATGATAATGGGATCTACGATGTACATAGTGATGCATCCAAGAATGGTCTGGGATGTGTGCTTATGCAAAATGGATAGGTGATTGCATATGCATCAAGACAGTTAAAACCTCATGAAGTAAACTACCCTACTCATGACTTAGAATTAGCTGCAAACATTTTTGCACTAAAGATTTGGAGGCATTACTTGTATGGGGTGAAATGTAGAATTTATACTGACCATAAAAGTTTGAAGTACAATTTCACCCAAAGAGATCTAAACTCACGCCAAAAGAGATGGTTAGAATTTGTAACGGACTACGACTTGGACATACAATACCATGAAGGGAAGGCAAATGTAGTAGCAGACGCTCTAAGTCGTAAAACCGATCATGGACTGAACACTTTGGTAGTGGATGATGAATTGTGTAGGGAAATGAGGAAAATGAACCTAGAAGTGGTGGAATAGGGAGTACCAGCAGGTATATTTGCGAATCTAAGCATTTAACCAACAATATTTGATGAGATAAGGGAAAATCAGGCAGGAGATGTAAAGTTGGATAGGATTCGTGAGAAGATAAAGCAAGGAAAAGCTACAGATTTCAAAATTCATGAAGATGGGAGTTTAAGGTACAAAGGTAGATGGTGTTTAACACAAAAATGTAAGGAAGTAAAAAGAAAATTAATGGAGGAAGGACACAATACACCATACTCAGTACACCCTGGAGGGGTTAAGCTATACAAAGATTTGAAAAAAATGTATTGGGGGCCTAGAATGAAGAATGAAGTTGCGGAATTTGTAGCGAAGTGTTTAACTTGTCAAAAGGTGAAAATGGAGCACAAGATACCTCAAGGAGTGGAAATGATACCATTTGGGTCGTGGTGGATAAACTTACCAAATCTGCAGTGTTCATACCAATGAAGGAGATCTGGAAGATGGAGTAACTTACAAAAGCTTACATCAAGTATGTTGTGAGGTTACATGGAGTTCCAAAAGATATTGTGTCTGACAGAGATTCTATGTTTCTTTCAACGTTCTAGAAGAATATTCAGGAAAACTTTGGTACAACATTAAAGATGAGTACAACATTTCACCCTGCAACAGATGGACAAACTGAGAGAACTATTCAAACCTTGGAAAATATGTTGAGAGCTTGTGTAATAGACTTCCAAGGGGGATGGGAAGATAGCATGGACTTAATTGAATTTTCTTATAATAATAGTTATCATACGAGCATAGGTATGGCTCCATTTGAGGCATTATATGGAAAAAAGTGTCGTAGTCCTGTATGTTGGAACAACATAAGTGAAACAATGATTTTAGGCCCTCAAATGATCGAAGATACAGTTAAGCAAGTAAAGGAGATTCACGCTAAGATTCAAGCAACACAAGATCGTCAAAAGAGTTATGCAGATCTAAAGCATAGGGAAGAAGAGTTTGAGATTGGTGACTAAGTGTTGTTGAAAGTATCACCAATGAAAGGTGTCATGAGATTTGGGAAGAAAGGAAAACTTATCCCAAAGTACATTGGTCCATATGAGATATTACAGAGGATAGGTAAAGTAGCTTATAGGTTGGCCTTACCTATGGAGATAAGTAAGGTGCATGATGTATTTCATGTGTCGCAATTAAGAAGGTATATACCTAATAAGTCACATGTGCTACAACCTGAAACAATTGAGTTAGATCAAAGCTTAACTTATGAGGAAAGACCTACCAAGATCCTTGACAGTAAAGTGGGTAGTACACGCAACAAGGAAGTTAAGATTGTTAAGGTGCTATGGTCTAACCAAGAATATGAGGAAGTAACTTGGGAAGTTAAGGATGAGATGAAAAAGAAATACCCTGAGTTATTTGAGATGTGTTGAGTTATGGGGACGTAACTCGTTTTCTTTATGGGGGGTAGAATGCGGTATAATTTCGCGCTTTTTCCCTATATCTTCAGTTATTTTAGTGCTTTTTGCACATTTTTAATGGTTATTTCGAGTACTTTTGATTTCAAGGAGACATTAAAGGTAAGAGTATGTCAAAAGAGCACAACAATATTATACATAGTGAGGAAAAATGTTAATTTTTCGTTACCCAAGTTTCGAGACAAAACTTTTTTTAAGGAGGTAGAATGTAATACCCTGTATATATATATATATATATATATATATATATATATATATATATATATATATATATATATATATATATATATATATATATATATATATATATATATATATATATATATAATATATATATATATATATATATATATATGTATGTATGTATGTATGTATGTATGTATATATATGTATGTATGTATGTATATGTATATTAATTTAAATCGTTTTTTTATGAAGTATTTAAATAATTTGAAATGAATTATTTATGGTATTTTAATAATTTAAAAAGGTTTATTTTAATTAAAAGTCCGTTTTTATTTATTTAATTTTTTTTAGAAATATTTAATTTTATTATTTAGAAACTTTGGGGTATAATTAATTTATAAAAGTAAGTTTTAAAGTCAATGGAGTTTTAAAGAAAGTCAAAAGTCATTTGAAATAGGAGTATGAATCATTAAGGGTAGAAAGGGAATTTAAAGTAGGAGGGTTTGAGAGAAGGTATAAATACCCATCTCATGAGCAAATTAGACATTGCTCAAGGTGAAGAATATCCAAAGGTAAACTCTCTTTCTCTCTCCACTTATTTTCTTTCTCTCCCTAATTTTTCTGCTCTCCCTTTTATTTTCTCACCTCCACACCACACACCCACACGCCACACACACGTGGTCGGCCACCACCACAGCCACACACCGGCCAGCCACGTGTGGGCAGCAGCCATGCCGTGTGTGTGCGTGCGCAACCCAACAAAAAAAAAGCTCTTTCTCTTGTTTTAATTTAATCAACCTTAATTATTGTATTTGGGTGTGTGTGATGATTTTATGATGTTTTAATAATGATTAATATGTATACAATTTTCAAATTTAGTTTTTGAATTAAAAAGCCCCAAATTGAAAACCCTAGGTTTCTAAATTAATGCTTATTGATGGAATTTGATTGTAGTTGATATAAACTATTGAAATAAACGTTGTTTTAAACTAAATTATAGCAAGTTTAAGAGTTTTTATAATGCTGGATTTTTTATGTAGAGGCTAGAATTATGTTTCTTGAAAGGATTTTTAATTATCCATTAATTGGGAATAAAAGTAGGTGGTTTAAATTAATTTTCAACATGTTTTAGAAGGTTTAAAAGTGATTTAAAGAGTGTATATATTGCTGAAAATTTATTATGAATAGGTATTAATGTCTCTTTGTAATTTTGGATTGTAGGTGACTTCCTTGTGAGTGATTTCCTGTAGTCGTGGCGATTTTGAGATCATATTCGAGGTACGTTCGCGTAATCGGTAATAATTTAAGTGTGTAGAAGCATGCTAGACTTTATTTAATAAATTCCAATGTAGTATCATGTTAGGTATTGGTTGAAATTGTTGATTAGAGTGATTTTGGTGATTGATTTGTGAAGTATGAATTATTTGAGGTGAATTGTTTATTGAAATTAATTATGTTGGCATGTTGATTATCAACCATACTTTTATTGTTGGCATGATTGAGAGCATGTTTAATTAAACTAAATGTTTAATTGAGTTTGAAATATTAAAAGGGGATTTTATTATGGTTCATATAATTTTTATTGATGCTATAAGTATGAGAATTGAGCTATTAAATGTCTTAGTATACAAAAATAAAATATATTGCGGTGCCTAAGTTCACTTAAGGTGTTCTAAACACCGAGGGATAGGATTTGCGGTGCTTTATGCGCTTAAGGTGTTTCAACACCGAGGTAGTTTATAAAGGGTTCAACGTTTAATTTTATGTGATCGCTAAACATTTAAGAATTAAATTGAAATGTTTGATTACTTGAATGATTATGTTGATTGATTGTATTGTGGATTAAGAGTCATCACCAAGTCTAAAATATGTAAACAACGTAAAGTGAAAGAGATTACACACCAAAACTCTTGAAAAGTATATACCTCGTGTATGAACATATGGGGGGAGTTATGGGGTTTTATATTTAACCATAGCTTCTACTGGAAGTACAGGATGTTGTGCCTGCCTGGTTAGCTTCTGGAGTAGTTTACCCCAATTATTTGGGGCAGGGATTTGGTGGGAAACCCGTTCGATGCGTAATCAAATTAAATAAGCAATTTATTTATTTATTGGTTATGATGTATGTTGTATGCTTGTAAACAGGTGCAACAAGGTAAGTGGTGTTGATAGGATAAAAGCATGTTAGTGTGTACAG